ATTAATCAAGTCAATGTTTTGCCGATGATCATCGCCTAAGAAAAACAAATTTTTAATATAATTTTTTATTTCTAATCTTTCTTTATTTCTTTCTCTTTAATATAATATTTAACATTCACGCAATACGCGTAGCGGTAAAAATAAGTGACTCCGATGTATAAAAGTCTCGAAACAGGAATAAAAATAATTCTTTATAAAATAACGACTGGTGTGTATTATTATTATTACTATGAGTAAAACAAAAGTACATCTTTTAATTAATCATCAATCTTTATATATATATATATAAAATGATATATAAAACTCGTTCAGGTGAAAACGACGAAGGTAATACAATTAGTAACGTGTACCAGGAAGATTACAGAGGAGTTAACAGGTCCAGTGGTAGGGTGGTGGTGGTGGTGGTGGTGGTAGTGGTGGTATAGGGTCGGGCACGTTTTAAATAACGATTAGAATGAACTATTATACGCTTATCGCGAGCTTACGTAATGTTCCGTTAGTAACGATCATAAGTTGCATGCGGGACCCGTCAGAATCCCAGAGGTGCTGGCGTGACCACATCGCGTATTCAGATAATAGTGACCCGTACGTATGTACATGTGCGCGTGCGCACGCATACTTATAGAGAGTAAGAATAAGAGTTAGTGTAAAAGAGAGAGAAAACATAATGTGCCCATGCGCAATTAAAGGGTTACGCGATGTTATACTAGTTTTCTTTCTCTCTCTCTCTCTCTCTCTCTCTCTCTCATTCTCTCTCTTATTCTAATATTTACTTTTGCATATATTTACAAATTTATGTCGACCGTAAAGATATAAATATATGATCCAAAGTAGATGTATGTATTGTTAGCATAACAAAAGTTTACTTGAACACGTTGAAACTTAAATTTCTCGAACACGATAACACATTTCTCTTTCTCTCTCTCTCTCTAACTCTTTCTTTCTTTCTTTCTTTCTATCTCACTTTTATGCATATTTTTTATAAACCGAGTTACGAGTTCATTAATAAATTACTTCGACGATAACGTCGCAAGAAGCAACAACAAAAAATATTATATAATCTTGCACATCAAATGTGTTACGTGAAAAAGTCATCAGTAATTAAACGCGTTAATGGAAAAGTACATAAGTAGTGCTTAAATAAAGAAAAAAAGTAAAAAATAATAAAGGAATCATAAAAAAAAAAAATTCGTGACAATTTTTCAATCATCGAACTTTCCCTTCTTTTTTCTCCTGCAATAAAATCGTATATAGGTGCATCCTCTATAAAACAGTCATATCTCTCTCTCTCTCTTTCTCTCTTTCTCTCTTTCTCTTTTCTGTCTGCTGCGTATCCCCTGAATTAATATTCGTTGGCTTATTTCATTTCGAGCCGATCAAGGTGTTGCGTTCTTGAAATTCTCAGCAAATTGTATCCCCCCACCCACGCCCCTCCCACTCGTTCCGTTTCCTTTTCTCTCTCTATCAAGGTACTATTTTCTTCATCTATCCATCTATCTTTCTCTTCACCATCGTCTCTTCATATTATTTCCGGCTATGGTCCTTCTATCACCCACCCTTCACTCCCCTCCCTAAACCGTTATCCACATTCTGGAAAATTCCTATATATCGCACATATAGAAGGGTGAGTCTGGAAAATAAAGAAAGGGAACGTTATAGAGGGGTTGAAAGAGAGAAGAGGAGGAAAAAAAATAGAAAGAGAAAGAGAGAGATGAAAAAAACGTCGATATAATTAGTAGAAATATTCGTGGCATTGAAAAGAGGGAGGGGAGGGTGGGAATCCTTGAAAATAATTGAGACAAAACATTGCCCCTTCGAGGTTCGACTTTTCTCTTTCTCACGTAGATAATTTATTTCTCCATTTATCTATACATATATATATATATATTATATACACACGTATACCACATACATATATATATATATGCCAAGCACATATTTATGTGGCTATACACATCCATCACGTGGAATCTGAGCAGCAGGAAGTTATCCGAGGAATGCGAAGCGTCGTTATATCTTTCGTCGGGAGATTCTCGAGTGAAAGTTCGCGTGCCCGTAACCGTACCATACTCGAACGAATCTTTCTCGTGATTTTACCGGCACGTGCTGCCAAGTTACGCTTTAGATAATAACATTCGCAACTTTTGGTAATGTTCATCGTTCCTTTTGTGATCGTACCATTGTCCTACTTATAATGTTCAATTCAAAGAAGAATATTAGGAAGGGAAAGGCTGAGGAGAAGGAGGAAGAAGAGGAGGAGGAGGATAGTACACTATGTACTATTGGGCTTCAATCCAAAATCTTTTGGCAACGTTAGGATCATTGATACGTACTTTCTTTGATTCTAACTATCGTAATAATGACTGTTTGTTTCTAGGGAATATAATCATTTCTTTCGATACTTGCTTCATAACAATCGATGAATTCGATATTATTGAACATATTCTTTACAAATAGAAAGGAAAAAGATGTTGAAAAGTAATCGAAAAGAACTGAATTTCGTAGCACGAATAAAGAAAAATAAATAAAGAAAGGAAGAAAGAAAGAAAGAAAGAAAGAAACGTCGTCGATGGGTTGAGGGTGTAGGGAAGGGTATGGGGGTAGGAGAGGGGAATGATTTTCTTCTTACTCTCAAGGAGGTTGCTCGGCGAAAAGGGCGTTTAAACTTTCATGCTCGGGAAATCGTGCTAGGGCGATTTCAAGTATGCATAGGTTAATCAAAAGGTTGGGGGAGTATGCCGGGATAAGAAAGAAAGAGTGGGGGGTGGCGGAGGCGGGGTTGAAAGAGAAGGGGAAAGGAAAGGATAAGAAGGAGAAGGAGTTTGAAGGTAGGACTACGAATTTCGATTTTCAAGATGAGGAAAGGGTGGTAGTAGAGTTGCATGAAGAGAGGGGATGACTACTCGCTAGGGAATACGTTGAAGGTGGTTTCTTCTACTAAAAGACTATCGTGAAATCTTAAATGTATATATATGGTATATATATATGTGTGTGTGTGTGTAATATCAGGCGAGGTTTCCTTCGTTAAACCACTATTCGACGAGTTAAAATATAATGGCAATGCTACTACGCCTGTTTGTCACTCCCAAAGGCTAAAGTAAACACTACGATACAGGTAGAATCAAGCTATGCATAGAAGATTATTCCTTACGCCCATCCTTAGAATAAGATATCGGCAGTTTTCTGCAAGGCAAGGACCTCTCACTAGCTCCCTTGAGTACCTCTCGCGAAGATTACCGTCGACGATACGCCTCTGGTCATTTTCTTTCTTACCTTTTTCTTCTTCTTCTTTTTCTTTTAGAATTATCTCTCTCTCTCTCTCTCTCTTTCTTTTTTTCTCTGACTTTCTTTGACTTTCTCGTTTCACGTTTAACCATTTAATGAATATTTTCGAACTAGAAAATCTCGAAATTCATGAACGTTCTACACGTTCTGTCACGATAAACTCCAACAGGGAAATAACTAGATATTCGTGGTGGCCTTTCCTAGAAATATTCTATAACTTTTTTTTAAATGTGTGTGAATTCTCAATTGTAAAAAAAATTCTTAGAAATGTTTTTAGCAATTTTACAGGATTCTAATACCAATTTGTTATTTAACGTTATCACAAATTTCACTTGGTAGATTCTTAACGAATGAGAAATATTTTAATCGGTCACGCAGAAAATTGATGTTAAAAGGGATTTCTTTAAGGATACGTGATATTCGTGTGTACGTGCTAGTATACGTGTATTATGTAATATATGTTACTGCACAGCTTTCATGTATCTTTCTCAAAGACTTTCGTGCAATTACATCGGACGGGGTTGCTAATTAAACCGTAAACGAATGGTGGAACGGGGTAAATGTGCACGTATTATATTTGAAAGTTAATCGGTGAGAAAGAGAAAGAGAGAGAGAGAGAGAGAGAGAGAGTATAAAGACAAGCTGTCTGTGCAAACACGATGCATTCGGTATCGGGTTACTGAATGTTTGCATGGTGTACCACTGAAAGACATAGCGGCCACAACCGCAGGATTTTGGTTGTCGTCTTCGTTGCCGTCTATGTTTCAACATGTAGACATTACAGCTAGCGATATTTGTCTTACTTCTATTTTATCATTTTTTTTTCTCTTATAATTGCAAATTAAATGATTCGTTAATAAGATAGAATAGGTGACAAATCTTTTTTTCTTTTTTTTTTTTTATGTCGTCCCGTCAAAACTATTACACAAAAAGAAAAAGTCGATCTTTATCTGAAATAATTAATTAAATTATTATTATCATATTTTTTTTTTCTATAAAGAATTTTACGACAACATTATAAGCATAATTTTTTATTTAATTAACGTAAGAACAATTATCCGTATTCTATTTAAAACCAGTCAAGATTTCAACATGGTTCTCACGTCGAATTTTGATTTACGCCTTGCGGAGACACTCGAATGACAAGATAGTCGCGTCAAGTTTCGCTAATGGGATTTACATCTTGCTCGAGTTTAGTCAGCCAACAAGATCCATGACTCCTCTAAGATGCACACGTCGCCGTTCTTCGTCTTGTTTGACGAACAGTGCACGATGTAATAATAATAATCATTATAACTCTGTTCCTCTTATTAACTTGCTTCCGAAACTCAGCTTTCTCTCTCTCTCTCTCTCTTTCTCTCACCCACTCGCTCACTCACTCTCACTCTCACTCTCTTTCTCTCTTTCTCTTTCTCTCTCACAACTTTCGTATCACTTGGAGACATCGATACGGATGCCGCTCATTTCGAACGACATTAATTAAGATAGACTTTGCTTATGCAAGAGAACCTTTACTCGCTGTACAACATCAGAGTACATTTTCTCTCATGTTATTATTATCATTATTATTATTATTATTATTATTATTATTTGTTTGGACATGGAAAAAGAGTGTGAATTAAAAAAGAAAAATAATATAAACATAATTTTACTCATTTTAGTGTTTTTTCCCAAACGTTTCATCATTGTAGTCACAGAATGGTGCTTGCAAAAACTTTTGCAATAAAATTGTAAATTCGATTTAAAGAATATTACGAAGAATCGTTGAACTTTGATCTTATAAAAAAAATAACTTTTGTTTCTTTCGTTCGCGTATGCGAGTTTGTGTGTATGCACGTGTTAGTGTGTATGTGTATTAAATTCGTGTAACGAGAGGAAAGATTGAATTCGACTTGCAAACACGAGAGACGAGATCCGATCGATATTTGTGTGTACGCGGCCGCTTTATATCGTACAATATATAAAAGATATATACAGAAGTATGCATTTATATGTGAATTGTATGTATATAGAAGAATACATACGTAGATACATATATTATATACTTTATATAGGATTCGTCTGGTGTGTATTTTAATATGCAACAAGACTCCGTGCATTCCAGCACAGATTTTAACCTTTGTACGTGAACAAAGCGAACGAGGTCGAACAAGGTCGAACGAGGTTCAGTTCAGACGCTATCGTCGTGCTTTATGTTCCTTCCTTTCTCATGGTTTTTTTTTTCTTTTCTTTTCTATTCTTTTCTTTTCTGTTTTTTTTTTCTTCATATTTTTCTTTTTTCTATTTTCTCTTTCTCTTTTTCTTTTTCTTTTTCGTCAGAAGTACCATCGAAGATCCAGATACATATTTTTCCACAGAAAACGAGCGACCGACACAAACGTCGTCGTCGTCGTCGTCGTCGTCGTCGGTACTTCGTTCACTTTTTGACAAAGCTCGAGATTTCGAATAACACAAAAGAAAAGAAAAGAAAAGCAAAGATACAAAAGGAAAAAAAAAAAGCTAAAAAAATAATAATAAACGAAAAAGGAAAAAAAAAGGAAAATAGATCACCCGTTGAAATAATCCAAGTCTCGTTTGCGTATACGAAAAGAGAAATGCCAATTATCCTTTGAAGTAGTACTTACGACTAAAAACGAACTTTATATCAAATGAACGAATATATTTCGCGTAGCTCATATTATTCTAGAATATTTTCGTATAAATAAACTTTCGATCATCATCATCATCGCACGAAGGGGGGTGAGGTGGGGTGGGGATCTCGAATTATAAATAAAATCCGAGACAAAGTGAATAAAATAAAAAATGAATAGAAAGAAAGAAAGGAAAAAAAAAAGAAAAATAAAGCAAACAATTGCCAGTTAGTACAAAGGATCTAACGATGAAAGCGAATTGCTAATACGTAAGAGTTAAAAAGAAAGAAAGAAAAAAAGAAAAAAGAAAACAGAAAAGAGTTAAAAGAAATTTTGTGAACGTTACCCTTGTTTCGGGAGGACACATTTAACAGTCAAATGGGGGAGAAAGAGGTTCTTTCGGTCGTCCCCCCTGGCCCTTCCTTCCTTCCTTTCTTTTATCTTTTTTTTTTCTTTCTTTCTTTTTTCACTTTTCCTTTTTTCTTCCCGTTTTTTTTTTTTTTTTTCGTTTTTCATCGTCGTTAACCGTCTAAGCCAAAGCTCCATGAAACTCTGAAGAGCAGACGGTCGGGTTCTGCCTTTTGCTTTTCGCGCGAAGGATTAACTTCCATCCGTCGACGGTCCGTTTGTTCCTTCGTTCCTTCCTTCGTCCCTTCATTCCTTGGTTCCTTCGTTCCTTCGTTCGTTCATTCGTTCGTTCGACCGAAACGAACGAGCTTTTTCCGTTGCTGTTATAGGAAAAGAGAGGGTGTAATACGGTCGAGAAAAAAAAAAAAAAAAAAATAGCATGAGAAGGAAAAGAGAGAGAATAAGAGAGAGAGAGAGAGAGAGAGAGAGAGAGAGAGACCAAAAAAAAAAAGAAATCAAGCATCATGGCTTTGATAAAAAAAAAAAATAAAGAAAAAAGAAGAAGGGCTGCCAGAAGCTCGCGTCTCTTGTACGAAAAACCGCGTTAAAGTATTCAACCCCCCTTTCCCGCTCCTATATCCCTCGAAGGTAACGTACAACTCTCTTTCTTTCCTTTTCCACTTACAAGCCCATATATAATTCCCCCCATACGTCCATGCCCGGCATCATACACTCACTTATTTTTGCGCTACAACGAACGCTAACGAAAACGCTCATGCCGTTGAGTTTAACTTCGGCTCGGTTCAAACGAAGATGTGCCGAGGACACGTGTATGAGTATATACATATATATATATGAGAAAGAGAGATAGTCGAAGGGTGGAATCGAAAGAAAAAAAAAATCTCTAATACGAAGGGAGAGAAACGTTAGCAACCCCCAACGTGGAAAGTGTGTGTGTGTGTGTGTGTGTGTGAACACGCTCGGATAAATTATTACTTTCGTCATGGAACGTGTCCTTGGCAATATCTGTGCTAATAGGAAATCACGAAGGGCTTTTCAGGGTCTTGGTCTTGATCTTGGTCCTTAATCTAGGATACCAACATTTCGTTTGTTTTTTTTTTTTGTTCTTTTTACCGGCTTGGAAAATAACTTTCCAAGCTTGTCCTTTCTTTACCCCTTTTCTTTTTTCTTTCTTCCTATCGTATCTTCTTCTATTTTATTTTGAACGTCGGAAAAAAAATGCGAGACCGAAAGACCGAACTTACTATTAAGTGCTAAGAAAAAACTACTTTTGTCTCTTCTTCGGGGTACCCCCATACTTTCGTCCTTCCCTAGCCCACCTTACTTCGAGTACTCGTCGTTCCCCATGGCGATACCAAATCATTCCCCTTTCCATAAGACTCACCCCCTCTCGACCTTTTTCTTTTCTTTTCTTTTTACACGTACGTACTTAGATATCTACTACTATTTTCTCCTGTTTTTTTCTTTTTTTTTTGTTTGAATTCTTGATAGAGATATATATATATATATCTAACATTCATAGGAAATCGATTTTTATTTCGATTAGGAACGACGTTCTATTATTATTAGTCTATTCGTTTTATTGTTACTGTTGTTGTTGTTATTTTCTCATCGACTTTATTATTTCGTCAATGAATCGATTGAATTTAACGGAGATAAGAAAAAATTATCGACGTATCATCCCTCCCCCAATTTATTTCTATTTCTCTCATTTTTTTCTTTGTCAATAACGATGGATTATTTACGATAGGCATTACCCTATTCGAGTTATAGGTAATAGTATGCGTATTGGTATATAGCCGTTATATAAAGAAAAAAGAAAAAAAAAAAAGGAAAAAGGGCACGACGTGTAATATTTTTTATTACACGCGAAGTAACACATAAAAGTTTTTATTATCCTGGTCGAGACGAATCCAAGGGAATCGTACTAGACGTTTCATTAAATGTTTTCTATCTCCCTCTCTCTATCTCTCTCTGTTTCTCTCTGAATTCTATTATCCACGGTTCGACTTATGACTCACGGCTTACGAAAGGGAAGAAAGAAAGAAAGAAAGAAAGATAGATAGAGAGGGAGAGAGAGAGAGAGAGAGAGAGAGCTCACCCCCCGACAAATTAAAACCGCCATGGGTAAATTAATGTAACCCTCGGTGCGATGAACGTGTCTAATAAAACAACGTACCGTACCGTGTAATGAGGGGTAGTATAACGGATTTAATATTCCTTTAGGCTATATAGTTGATAGATATAGAGGTCACTGGAACTTTACCCTCTTTTTCACTCATCTCTCTCTATCTCTATCTATCTATCTATCTATCTGTCTCTTTCGTTTTTTTCTTTTCTTTTTTTATCGTACAATTTTCATCCGAGATAAATCTTGATTGGAGAAAAACGATTGGTGAAAGGTTTAACAGGCCAAAATCAGTGATAGGTTGAACGTAGTAGGACTGGACGATAAAATCTCGGCGTACCATTGCTGACAGAATGGATTTACAGTTCGCAGCAGAAAATTCTTGAGGAAGGATGAGAGTGGATTGATGTTGGCTGAGGACCCCGTACAAAAGGAAAGGGGGAAAAAAGGGAAGAAAAATAATGTGCCGTCTGATATAACTGGACGGAGAGTCAGATGGTTACTCTCGCAGTGTGACGAATCGTGGCTTTCTCGCACCTTTACGAGATAGTATGCCTTTTTCTTTTTTTTTCTTTTCTTTTTTACTTTTTTATTCGATTTTCTCACTCTCGACGAAACGGTAGAAAAAAAAGCTCGAGATAACTAGTTGCTCTTCTATATGCCTTTTTGAACGGTACTGAGGATAAGAGTGGAATGGAAAGAAGATTTGGTGTGAACGAGAAAGAAAGAATGAGAGAGAGAGAAAGAGATAGAGAGAAAGATAACGGCCAGAGAGACCCAGAAACCTTTTTGGTAACGGCTCTTCTGCGCCATAAATCTTTCGTGTATTAAAAATAATTGCTTTAAACCACTCCGAGGTACGCGTTTATGCTGTACTTTACGTCTCTAGCTAGTCTATGTGTAAGTATATATGTATATAATATATAGGAAGTATGTATACATATATTTATATGTGTATATATATACATTTATATACATATATGTATATAAATATGACAGAGAGAAAGAGAGGGAGATAGAAACGGTGGTGAATTTCTGTTATGGGGGTAGGAAGAAAGAAAAGAAAAAAAAGAAGCATTGCACGCCATCGTATTATCTATAGGCCGAGCGAGCGAGTGAACGAGCAGCCTTGCATACCAGTCCTCTGTCCAACCCTTTTCTGGGTTCTCCCTGCCCGTTCTTAAATCTTTTTAACGAGAGTGCGAGCGAGCGAGCGAGCGAACGAACGAACGAACGAACGAACGAACGAACGAGCAAGCAAGCAAGAGCTTTTCAACGTTCATAACGACCGAACTCGGCAAAAGAGTGTCTACTTTTTCCGGCTTGTCCCTCGGCGCGGACCCGAGCGTGAAAATATCGTACCCGTGGTTTAATTGAAAACGCGAGCGGACCTTCTGAAGCGTCTCCCTAGCGGAGATTCCGTGCTTTCGTAGTATAATGCGAATGCGAATGTGTGATTTCCTTTTTTTTTTTTGTTTTATTTTTCTTTTTCTTTTCTTTTTCTACCGAAAAGAATGAATGAGAGTGAGATGCGAAATGATGTTCTTCTCGATGAAATCTTTTTCGCAATTGTTTCTCGTTCGATGCACATTAATTTGCAACATTGTTTATATAATATTTCTTCCAAATTGTTTTTAACGATTAACGCGTGTATTCGGCGACGGGGTATGGGGTGTGGAGAGAATTTAATTTGAAAAAGTAATTCATAAATTTTGAACCGGTTAAACTTGGTTCCACGTGTACACGTTTAACCTTAAATAATTGTATAATTCCGTTTTATTCGTGAAATATGTGTAGATTAAATAGTAATATGTATATATGTATTCATGCGAGTGGCGAATAGTTAGAATATGAAATTAGATATTACGATGAATTGTTAATTTTGTATTTATATACAATATATATATATATTTAATCCTTCCTTTAACCTTGTTTTTTTTTTGCAGTTAAAATTAATATTAATAGGAATATTTGTGTCTTACGTTAAACGCGTTAACTCGTCATTGCTCGATTTTTAATTAAAGAATTTTTATCACATTTATATGAACAAACGTAAAGATTATTTCTTCTTTAACTCCTAGCGATGACGAAGATAAAATGACTCGTAATTTACTAGAGTGACTACGTTCGAGCAAAGTGAGAAAGGGAGAAAGGGCGATTTTCGAAAGCCGACTGACTGCTCACCCTTCGCCGAAGGGTCGGCCGTCTCTATGATTAATATGACAATACCACCAGGATTGGGACAATTTGCGTAACATCGGACGAAATTGATCTGGCGGTCTCCGGAAACCGTTCGTAGCAGACCCTTCATTTCCTTCGTAGAAGCGTTAATTACGGCCATTCGTTAATATTATAGTTATCAATCTGTGAACCATTCGAGGCGTGAACTGTAACTTTTTTTTTTTTATTTAATTTTTTTCTTATTTTTCAACGTTACTTATTACACAATTTTCCCGTATTCCCATATTTTTCTTCTTGCGTTTAAAATATACAACAATTTTTAATTAATTGCCAATTTCATTGAAACCTTATTTATATAATAAATACATTAATTAATATTATATTTTTCCGTTGCTCTTTCTCTCTCTCTCTCTCGCTATCTCTCTTTTCTTTTTCTTTTTTTTCTCTTATATATATATATAGAGAGAGATAACAGAAATATTGTGATAAATTCTGTTAATGTCAGAAATGCAGTAGACCCGATTTATTTCTAGTATTCAATTTGAAAAGATAATAATAACCGTGAGTTCGAACAACTTTGTTGAATAGTAGGGCACGACGGTGTAACGATGTTACATAAGTAAAATCAACAGTAAAATGGAACGAAGGAAAGAGAGAGAGAGAGAGAGAGAGATATTGATGCAAAATACCGATTTAATTTACCTTTCTACGATTTAATTGCAACAGCCAATTCCGCATTCGGACTTCGTAGATTGTTCTGATTCTTTTTGAGAGCAGCCGACGTTTATTCCGTTAACGGGTTCTTCCGGCGTTTTATTGGCTTTTAAAATATCTAAAAACGTCAAAAAATAGTTTCGAATCTCGGATCGAAGTCTTCGTTGCTCGTTTAAAACATAGTACAACGATTATCCAATCATTTCTTTTCCTTTCCTTTTTTTTTCTTTTAAGTTATGAATATATTTTTATTCGAACACGCGAGATGAGATCATATTTAAAACGAATACTTCAATATTTTCAAAATGCCTTATTCCTAACGTCTTCCAAGGGAAA